AACAACAAACACAGGAGCTGCTTTTCTGACCTTGTAACCCCCAGGTGAGTTTTCCCCTCTGTTTTCTTTCCTTTCCTCTCTGCTTTCCCTTTCCTCACTGCAAAACCCTAACCTTGACCCTTCTGAGGTGAATGAGGCACGGTGGCAGCTACTGCTGTACAGTTTCTGCCCTGTCAAGGGTAAAATGTAGGGTGGAAAACATGCCCAAAGGTGAAAATAAAAGATGCAAAAATAAACAATAATACCAGAAAAAAAATCAGGCAGCAAAATCAAGGTAGTGAGATTTCTGGATTGCCAAAGCTTTTCTTTAACTGCAGGTCCATAGATTCATAGATTTATCAGTTTAAACATGAATAAAAAGGAGCCAGCTGCACAAAAGTCATTTTGAAATGAAATCAGGAGTAATTGCAAAGTCCCCCAGCTGCATAGAGCAACCCACAGTATGTCATTCATTATCTGTGTATCAGGTAATTAAATTTCAGGATCCCACATGGTAAATTGGATGTTGTACATTGGTATTAACAGATGAGGGAGGCACAAGGAGCATTTCTGGAAAACCAAAGAGCTCAGTGAGATGTTTTGTGAACATAAGGCAAAATGAGTTGGGTGGCTTGGCTAATGTGTTACTTTATGGTGTTATTAAGAAATATTGAGCCCTAGGTGCTAAAGTCTCTTTTTTTTTTTGTGTTTTCTCTCCTCCCAGGTGCATCCCCTGAAAGGTTCTGTCTTCTGCCAAACATGCCCTGAACCAAGGGTTTCCCCACCCCCAAGAGAAATGCTTTTAACTTCCCTTGGAAAAGGAGCAGAGCAGAGTCTGGGACAGCATCAGAGCTTGGCATCAGAGCAGCATCTCAGCATCAGCACGAGTGAGTGCAGTACCCCACAGCAAGGGGTTGTGACGCCAGGGCTGGTACCTGCTGTAATTAAAGAGGGGAAAAATAAAGCCATGGGGAGTGATGAGATTGTTCCTCGTTGTCAGAAGCCAACAAAGTCAAAACAGACCCAGAAAAGTTTCATTAGTCCAGTTTTTATTCAAATTAAATGATGGGGAACTACAGTGTGATTTTCTTTCATAACATAAATATGTCAGTGAAGAACGTTTCTTGAGTTGTTCGTCGCACTGGACAAGACAGCTGTCAAGAGAGTTACTTTGCAAAGTCCTTTGTCCTCCACACTCATGCAAAAAAAATCTTTAATTTAAAAAATGAGCTTAAACAGTCAACCAACTTGTTAGAGTATACTGTCACCTACTGAACCAAAGTACTCTGGTTTACAAAACCAAAAATTTTCACACTCAAGTAAATTATTTCACAATCATTCATTACCCTAGAGGGTCTTTATACATAAAATATACAAATTAAAATTATCAATATTTATTTATTTATTCATTGTCACTGTAGAAGAAAATAATTTATAAACCCATAAACAAAGATAAGGGCAGATGAAAAAAAGTGAATGAGCCCATATTCAGACCATAATGTGTAGCACACTCCCAAACACTGCAGCTTTGAGCAACAATGCTCACATGGAAGTGATTATTGGGCATGATGTGGGCAAAGGGGGCAACTGCTTTGATAGTATATGAATAATGAATCCCAGAGGTTGAGACCAAGCTGCATTCATCTGTTGAGCCATCACAGTAGCTTGGTGAACAGCATTTATCTGTTGAGCCATCACACTGGTTGAGGAACAGGCACCACACCTCGCTGGATATTAAGGATTTTGGTCTCCAAACAATGTAAACCACAGAAGAGCTTTCATGGTGGTGACATGCAAAAGCTGCCAAGTGTATTTATGGTAATTACTTGTTGTACACATCCATAAAAAGACGCCGTTTGGATAAACTGAATGAGCTGAAAATTTATTTTAAACACCCCCAATTTATCTATTAGGCACCAATGGAAAAGATAGACTTCATTCAGACTTGTTTAAACAACAGCTTGCTTGAGACAAATCTGCATTGCAAGCCCAGTAGGGTGTGCACCACACACGATGCTCTTGGGGCTGGGGCTCATCCTGGGGTGCTTTTCTGCAGGAGCAAAGCCCCCTTTAGGAAACCCAGGGCCAGAGTCCCACAGGGAGACCCCAAAAAGAGATTACAACAGAAGGAGCTGAGGAACGTGCTCATATTCTCAAAGGATGAAAAGAAGGAAGAGGTCCAAGTTTGGTCTGTAAAGCTTTTACTAAAACTCCTGCAATAATTTGTCTGAATTTGGCATCCTGGGGGGTTGTGCCCAGACTGTTGCGGGCAGAGTATCTCTGTCTTCAAGCAGCTCATGCAGGAGCCAAGAAACAGAACCACCAAGTGACAGCTTGTCCCCCAAACTACCCAGGAACCAAACTCATGGCACAAGGAAATTAAATCAGGGTATTGGAATCATTGTAAAATACCAATAATCTAAGAGCTACTGGTGGCTGAGGTAATGGGTTTGAATTTATCTCACAACGTGGAGCCCAATGCTGTCCTTCTAACATTAAAACCAACACAACAGCTATCCCAGATCTTTCTTACAACATGGCATTTCTTGTGCAGAGAACATACATAGTCACACCTACACCACAGCCAGCAAAAATCACACTGGAGTGCACAAATTAGATCCAGAAATGTCATTGAAGACCATAAAAAGCAATCCAAAAATTATTTTAAATTTTCTTATAAAAATATTTACAATAAAATTTGTTAGTACTAATGCTATGTTTTCAGTCCTAGAAAAAGGCAATCTGTAAAGGATCTGGCTCAGGTGCTCAAAATGAACAATACAAACACGAAACCACACATCAAAGACAAATTCCAAGAGCATTTTGGGGGTGGGGGGGCACAGCTGGTTCATCACGTGTTGTTTGTATTGCATAGCTGGAAAACGAGGTCACTTGACTTGCATAACACTGCAACGTTTGGGAGGGAAGGGAGGAAACACCACCGAGGAGCCCTGGCTGAGCTGGCAGCAGCATCAGTCCCTGGCAAGGGCTGTGAGTCCTGGCCCTGTCCAGCATGCCACAGCTCTGGGCCAGCACTGGGCAGATGTGCCATTCTACAAGAGCAGAGAACCACCAAAACTTGTTTTCCTTACGAGCAAGAAAGGCTTATGAACAGATGGATAGCAGAAGAAAAAATTATCCCACCTCCAGGTATACCCACATTTCCCACCTGACAAACACAGCAAACTGCAACCTTGCACCTCTCTAGCAGTACTACCAATTTTTATCTCCAGCCCACATAAACTCATAGTCTCTGGCTAATATTTGCTTTTACTCCAGTGAAGCCAGAGGTGTGAGAATGTTGGCTGGAAACTCTTTCCAACTGTTGAGCTGCAGCTGGGCTGTACAGTAGCTTATAGAGGAGTTTATTTAGCTTTATGTCTGTACCAGACCTAACAAGGGCCATGTGTGCCCAAATGCTTGTCCAGCCTCGTGCAGTCACCTCTGCCTAACAACAGATGCTACCTTGGATTGCAATGCTTTGTCTGTCCCATGTTATCCTTTATTCCCAGGCTGCATGGAAGGGATGAATTTGAGTCTGTCCCAGCTGAGCCCTCATCACCTTCCTTATGCCACCATAAAGGAGCATCTCAGGATTCTGATCCGAAAGCAGCTGCAGTCAGGGAAACATTCCTACTGGGATACATTCCTACTGGGACAGACATTCCTACTGGGGTACATTCCTCCTGGGATGTACATTCCTGCCAGGGTACATTCCTGCCAGCCTCAATGGCTTTTACAGTAAGCAACACCTCACAGCATGTCACACTATGATTTTGGCACGTTTCGCTGCAGATTGTAAAACTCAAAGCAAAAGGTTTAAAGGGTATTATGGAAAAGACTAATTTTTTTTTTTAATTACTATTTTCAAGACCTTTGAGCTCACATACTGTGGAAGGGTAGACATAAAGAGCAGTAATGCCCTTTCTTTAGACAGTTTGCCCTTGTTTGTGAAAGCAAGAACATCCCAAGAGGAGTGGGAGCAACCTCACATTCCCCATGAAGGGAATGCCAGCCCCTCTGCAGGGCAGTGACACAACACAGGCACCCATCTCACAAGGACTGTGTCAACTCAAACATCAAAGAACACAAATTTATAGGAGAAACCCACTCCTCTACAAAAGCAGCACAAGGTGATGCAGCTTAGATCCCTCTGAAATACATTTTTAAGTATTTTTCTTTTCTACTGTCGAAGGTCACACAGAGCAGATCTATGGAGACAGAAACCAGCATTACAACTCTGGACAGCTGCCCACAACAAAAAGCCTCAGCTGATTTACAAGGGAAAACAAAAAAAAAAAAGAAAGAAAAAAAAAAACCCAATCAAGAAGAAAAAGAGTAGAGAAAATATTTTTCTTCACTAGTTCCCTTTAGCTGGGGAGCTCTGGGAGCTCACCTCTGTATGCAGAAGCATGTCAGAACTCAAAGGGAGACACAAAGAGGTATTTTAAAGTCAAATGTCTTCTTAAAAAGAAAACTTTAAGAATTTGGTATATAAGCAAGACAGGTCCCTTACATCTGGATCTAGATTTGTCTGTTTTGAATAATCTTATGAGTTCTTCATACTAATAAAGGAATGCTTTCAGTAAGGGCAAGACTAAAATAGCAATTACAGTGACAGTGATTAGTTAATCTCCCTGCTCTGGAAGCATTAAAACACTGCAGGTATTTTACTTGGCTCATTAATCCCTGCTTGGGTGACAGAGGGCTCTTGCTGTATGGAATGTCTCTACATTAATGGCACCATAAGGTTTTTTTTAACATCTAAATGCTCTATTATGAAATGGCATTGAGATGCTGGACAGAGCTAGAACTGAAGCTTTCAGCACAGCTGAAAAGTGTGGGTTGGGAACATTTTCTATTCAAGCAACATTTGTTTCACAGGAGCAATAAACCCCGTGGGAGCAGCATGTGTTGTGTGGGGCTGGGAAGGTTTGTGTGGCTCAGGTGCAGAGCTCAGCCCCAGGGAAGGCACTGCCCAGCAGGTCCCGTCACGCACAGCACACAGCATCCATGGCAAGTAGAAAAACCACATGGTGTTTATTTCCACAAGCATTTCAGGGATACATACAGCAGTCCAGTGGCATGTACAAACGTATGGCTGAGACAGCGTCACACTCGAGCCAGACCACCCTGTTCCAGTTCATTTCTGCTGTTTTTATCTGTTGGAACTCAGAAGTTTCCCCTGCCAGTATAAAGTCCACCCTCCAGGCACAGTGAGTAAGTAGTTCAACCAACAATGTGCACGGAGCATCAGTAGGGAAGAAATCCAGAAATGTTCATTTTTACTCACATGCCCAAACGTAGCAGTTTTGTTTCACACAAAAAATCCCGTGCCTGCAGTCCAAGCACAGTGTTTATCTCAGGACACATGCCATCGAGAAGAACAGCTGATTGCACCACAGATAACAAGCAACACCTCGTGTCTAGCATGGAACATGTCCCCAGAGGGATTTTCACTTGGCTATGCAATCCACTGCAGAGTGGATGATGCTGGCAACGTATCACTTGTCATGCTAAGACATTAACAGCAATGAGATGGGTCAAGTCAGAGGTCAGTCATCTTCCCAACACCACCTAGCTGGATCCACTTCACTTCTGCTCCTCACATTGGCTTGATTGTGTGTCACAAGGGTTTGTGAATCACAGCCACACCTGTTGTAAGAACAGACAGACACAGTTATGTAGGAGCAGCTCCTGGGTTGCCACGTGGCTACAATCGTTCTGCAAAGCCGAAGGCCAGCAACGAGGGAGGTGTCTACCAGTTCTGTGAAAGTTTCTCCTACTGAAATCAACATAAAACATACCAAAAAAGCAAAATTAAAGCTTCAAGGAGCACAGCCCTCAGGTTTAGGGATGACTCCACTGCTGCCCACTCTCCCACTGCCTGTTTACCTGCATAACTCCTCCCTGTGCTCATGCTGGATGGCAACAAGGTCCACTTGTCTGTGCTGGGGTTGTAGTACTCCACCGAGGCCAAATTGCAGGAACCATCATCACCTCCCACCACGTAGAGGAGACCATTCACAGCACACACACCTCAAAGCAGAGCACAGATGGTGAGACATGGGCTAGCTCATCCCCCACAGCACACTGCTGCCACATTCCAATTCACCCCCAAGCAGATCCCTCAACTCCCATTTTTATCTTTTACAACACTGATCACACAGACCACGAGCACACCAACTGCATTAAAAACCACACACAGACAACAGAGCCAACCACCACAGAAAGGCTTATCATGGTTACCTGCATTTCTTCTACACATATTCATGTCTGCTACTTGCTTCCAGGTGTTTGTCCCTGGGTCATAGACTTCCACACTCTTCCTCACCAAGGGCCCGTCGTGGCCCCCGGTGGCGTAGAGCAGCCCACTGAGCACACCAACACCTGCCAAGCACAGCCAGGTCAGCCACAGCACAGGGACAGGGCTGCACACCCCTGGTTCTGCTACTGGGCATGGCCTTGGCCTCTCCAAGGCACTTCCAAAAACATGGGCCACATGTGCATCAAGATCAGCAGGCACGTGGTCAGCTCTGCCCCCACCCACCCCGTGGCACTACAGCAACCTGCACAGCAATGCCTGGCAGATGTCCCCTCTTAGGAAGCTGTCAGGCTATCCAAGACCAGCAGTCTAGTCCCATGACATTCCTCTGCCTTTGTTCCATCTCTTTGCACTCACTTGCTCTCTGCCTCCCACCCCACCTTGTTTCCCTCTGCCTGATATTTTCTGCCATGGGACCCTCTGCTTTTAGCCTGATTCCCCCTTTCAGGACTTTGACTTTTGTTTTTCCTGCTGCCATTGTGCCACATGACTTCATCCCTTGGATGATGCTCCTCTCCTCAACAACTTACAGCTCCTGAACCTGCCACTTGATTCCTCTCCTCCCACTCCCACCCCAAAACCTGGCAGCACTTGGCACAGACAAGGTGCCTCCAATGCCATCTTCAAAGCCATTTTTGAAGGCCCCTGGCCAAATCTCTGGGAATGACAGGGATCTTAAAGCTACTTCTGCCTAATATTAAGTAAATTAGTTAATTAAAATGTTCACCAATCCATGAGAGTTAAAACTTCCAGCAACATATCTTCGTTAATAGGTTCAAAGGCCTCTATTAAAATTAACAAGGTGGGATGTTAGTAAAACAGAAACAGATCTGAATCACATTATTTCAACCATGGGCATTAACCAGTACGCAGGGAGGAGAGAGGCCCTGCCAGCCTGACAGCAACAGGTTTTTGACTTGGTCCCTGTGCAAGAATCTCTCCTGGTCAGGAAAGGAGAGGGCAGGAACAGCTCTGAGCCAGAGAACAGGCACCACCCAGGCTCAGCAGTTCCATCAGGAGCATCCCCATCTGGGCACAGGTACATAGATCTACCATGTCACCCCTCCCCTCTCCAAATTATCTTAGCTTGCTACTGCTGTGTTTGGTTTTGACCAGCCATCTCTCACTGTACCAAGTGCTGAAATCCTGATATGACATTGGGACTCATGGTTCACCTCTGGCAAACATACAATTAATCTCTAACTGCCATAAATATCCACCTTACTGGGCCACATCCTTGGTGTGGTTGAAGTACTCCAGCATGCAGGGCTCGGGAAGAGCAAAACACATCCACATGTGTGTCCTGGCACCTGAGCTGTAGCAGGTGTCTCCCAGGTCACTGGGAAATGGAAAGTCACTTAACTGCATCTGAGCCCAGCAGCCTGGCTGTGCAGCACCTTGGCGTTTGACTATATTCAGCTGTTAGTGGAAATTTTATACTTGTAAGAAATAATTTAATGAGTAAACTAATTTAGCAAGTAAGAGAGTAAAAGAGTTGGAAACACTCAAGATTTTTCACATGAAACTGCCTCCTTGTGCAGTGAGAACAGGGCATGCAGGGACAGGACACCCCTGCCAGCAGGGGAAGTGAACTACACAGCTGGTTCAGCAAACCCTGGGAGTGTCCAAAAAACGTGCAGATGTGGCACCTGGGGACATGGTTTAGCAGAGAACAGGGCAGTGCTGGGTTAACAGTGGTACCTAATTATCTTAAAGGTTTTTTCCAATCTAAAAAAATTTATGATTCTATAAAACCTGGGCAGCCCCTGCACATCCCCACAGCCCCAGTGCCTGCAGGGACTTGGGGACACCTGTCCCCAGCCCCACTAGATGTCAGCACGGGGATGGCAGCGCAGAGCACGCTGTCATTGCTGGAGCTGTACAGCAGACTGTGCTGCAGCACTGCTGGTGGCACTGGGCAGTCGCCTCCAGTCCCTGCTGCAGGGGCCTCTGTGGGATCACCAGAGTGTGAGGAGCTCAACTTTCAGGTGGGGAACAGAAAACTGCAAAGAAGTTTGGCAGAGGAGTATGAGCATTCCTAACAAAGGACTTGCTACGTGGAGAAACACTTGTAAAGCAGCACTCAGAGCAGAGTGTTTCCAACAAAGACAACTCACTAAAATCCATTTCACTACGGCCACAAAATTCTTGCTGTTTCAGCACACTGCCAACAATAGGAGACACTCATTCTGCTCTCCTGGAAGGCTGCACTGGACTAGGTTTAAGCATCAAGCAGATACTACAAACCTCTTCAACAGAACTCAAACGAACAGTGTGTCCTTATTTACCTCACCTGCAGCTACAGAAAAGATACTGGAGTGAGGAGAGAGAGACAGGGTGTAGGGAGCAGCCTCAACCTGCCCAGCTCAGAAGGGAACTCCCACCACAGCTTAACCTGCAGGGTCATTTCAGCCCCAAAGAGCAGCCCCCAGGCTTGCCTGTGGCTACCTGCACAATTTAATATCAGGGAGGCACACACTGAGCATTAGGACCAACATTGACAAATTCCCATTCACCTGAAGATGATTTTAACTGCAGTGGATGAGAGCTCTTCTCCCTTTCAGAGAGGAACAATCACAGAGAAGACAAATTGCTACCTGGCCCAAGATCATGTAGGAAATTAGAAACCATCAAGACTAGAATCCAATCGTTTTACAACAGGTCCTTTCCTCTAATCCTCCAGATCACCAACTCTCGCCAACAAAAAATCAACTAAAAACTACCTAAGCAGGGACAATCTGAGATGAATTTTGTTATCCTACACATCACCCAATGTGCAGATGAGGTTTATATTGCAAAGCACCCATTGGGTGCTTGCAGGAAGATCCAGAATTAAAATTCCTCTGAAACCCTACAATGACAGGGGACAGGGAGGTGCAGCTTGGATTTCCTGTGCCCAGCTTTGCTTGCAGCTGGAGATTTGGAAAGGGAACTCCTTGCTTACAAGTGAGATGCATCTGCTAGCAGGGCTACTTTGAGACACCGAGCATTATTTCATCAATCCAGAAATCAATCTCAGTTTGGCAGATTTAGTCAAAGCCGGGAGAGCTGCTGAGAGATTCCAAACCATTACATTTTTCCCCCTCACGGGAAGTGGAGCACACAAGAGGTTGCACTTGCAAGCCCAGCGATGGCAAATGCCACTTTTCCTCCCTGTGTGTGAGCAGAGCAGGTGGTGTGGTGCCCGTGCTGAGCAGTACCTGCCCCGCTGCGCCGCGTGCTCATGTCAGCCACGTAGGTCCACTCGTTGGTGGCGGGGTTGTACTGCTCCACCGTGCTCAGGCACTGCCGCGACGCGCCGTCGTAGCCGCCCACGGCGTACAGCTTCCCTGCAACACACACAGCCAGGCTCAGCAAGAGCCACAGCCCGGGGACAGGCCCTGCCTCAGGACACGCCTAACCCGCTGGGTGGCTGGGGAAAAGCCTAGCAAAGGCATCTGGAGTGGACTCGCCACAGGAGCGATTGTTTGTAAAGCTGTTAAACTGTCAGCAGCACGAGGATGCACCACAGCAGCTTCATCAGAAGTCAACAGCCCAGACGGTTTTCCAAATTGCTTGTTGGCCCAGGAGAAGAGGGATTATCAAGGCGTGTTCAGTTCCCCCCATTCAGGTATGCTGTCAAAGGCTGTCACTGCCCATTAACTACAGCATCACAGGAGCAATAAATACTAAATAGCTTCTTATAATAATATAATACCTGCAAAGAAACCCAGACATGGCTTTGTAGAACTTGGGCCAAATGGAAACCCAGAGATGCTGTGACCAGCTGAGGCCAGCTGGTCACTCGTGCCCAGTGATGACAGCACAGGACACACCGTGGTGTGAGGGTCTCCTGGGGTATCCAGCCCTCCCTGCCTCAACTCACTGAAAGCTGATAGACACACACTTACTGAGACCAGAGAAGCACAATCAGATACCATGGGACTGCACCATGCATGAAACAGGGCTGATGCTCTACTGTGTCCTCTGTTCCCAGGCCTGACTGATCCTCTCCCCTTGTCTCCCTGTACCATCTATCAGCTTGTTTTGCATTTAGGCAGTTAATTCTCTGGGCAGAGAAGGATTCTTCTTACTAAAGCAGCCAGCACAAGGCATTCTGGTTCAAGTCCAGGTCTCCTAGATGCTACAGTGAACAACAATTAAAAAAGCTCAATTTCAATTTTCAATTTTGTAGAAAAATTCTAACCTAAATTTTTGTACAAAACCTAGAAATTATATCAATTCTCAATCGATGACAGCAGAGCCTGGCCATGAATGAGCTGTGCAATTCTTTGCATGCACAAGACTCCCACCAGCAGTTATCTTCACCCTTAGGCTTTTGCATCCTCCTGTTTCTGGATGTTTGCAGGCTCCAAGAACAAGCTGGCTCTTTTCTTTCTCTCTCAGGCCCACTCATGGCCTCCTTCTGCATCTTCCTGTCTCTAGTAACATTTCAAACTCTTATTTGTGCTGTTGGTCCTGCCTGGTATTTGTCAGTGAATCAGGCAAGAATGCCAATCTAAGCAAGACAAGATCAATTTCCCTCACTGGCATGGATTGTTAGGTATTTTCAGTATATAATTGATCATCAGATCAATTTTTGTCACATTCAGATGAACCCTGTGGATTAACTGCAGGCTGCAGTTTATTTTCTACACCAGTATGAGCAGTTCTTGTGCCCATCACATGTCCTCATTATTTTTATCATGGACTCCAACATATGCAACACTTACTTGTGTTCTCAAAAAAATCAAAGGAAAAAGATTTCATGAGTGTCCAGTAGAAAATCTGTCCATAGAAATGCATTTCTCAGGTCCATATTTAATACTTTTTCTGCATTCAAGCCATTTGAATAAATTCCAATGACTGACAGCAGCCCAGCACTTCCCAAGCATGGGCCAATTTTGAAGGAGGTACTTCTTAAATATGCAAATTTAAGTTAATGACCACTACTTATTCTGACTTTATCTCCCTTGTTCTTCTCACATAAACAGATTTCATGTACACTAACATATTCCATGTACTTCCCACTCAAACAGGTCCAACCAAAGCTCTGTAAAGCATGGTTTATATGGTTTATATTAAGGCTTGTGCCAAAGCTGCTCTGCACTGCACTAACAGGAAAGTGCTATGCCACACTAAAGACAAGTTCAAATGAAGCCTTTCACTTACTTCAGAATAGATTTTGTAAAGGAAGAAATGGTTCCTACTTAAACTTTTCATTCTCCTGAGTCCAAACCAAGCTGCTCAGTTCCAGCTCCCTCAAGTCTGGCGCTGACCCAGAGGTGCCAGCAGCTGCCACCATCCTGCCAGGCCTCCCACCTCACTCTGAGCTGCCACAGCCTTTGCTATCGTCAGCCCCTGCTCATTCAGGAACCTCAGCAGAGCTCTGCCTGATGTCAATAAACACAGGTTTTAGTATTCCTGCCAAACCACCAGCTTGGGGCTGTGGGACAAACTCTGCTCCTGTTTCTCTGGCTGAGCAGATTTTCCATGATGGGTATTCCATCCACGCAGCCTCTGCCGGCAGCAGCAGCACAGCAGTGCTGGCTTTCACCAGCCAGAACCAGCCCAGGAGAATCTGGGTTCAAACAAACCTGCACACACCTGATTGCATTCACAGGAGGCATGGGCTAGTCTGATACAGGTCTGTGGCTCTTGGAAAGCTACACATGATTTTTCACTGAGATAAAGAGGAGAATGGAAAAAGTTGCAGCAATTACGTCATATAAAATCAATCTTTCCCAACTGGTGTAGGGAACAGCTCTTGCCATTCCCTCCTACTGCACTTAACCATTCAGGCTTCTATTTGACACAGTAACGTTTGCTTGATGGAAATGGCTGCTCATTTTCTTACCCTCCACAACTCCAACTCCAACACTGCTTCTTCTTGTGTTCATGGGAGCCACAAAAAACCACTCATTGGTTTTATAGCTATAGGCCTCAACTGATGCCAGACCTAGTTAAAAAGGGGATACACAGGTTTTCTAATTAAAAAAAAAGAGAAGAAAAAAAGATTGGTGTTGCACTTTCATCTGCCTTCCACCTCCTCCCAAGCCCGTAATTCCCACCATGCTCCTGCAATCCCACTTCCTAACCCCTTGCCTTTCAGGCTGGGACCAGACTGTCAATGCCACTTCTTCAGTGGCTGGGAAAACTGTTACCCCATGACCCCCACCCTTGGACTGCTGCATCTCCAATGTGCTGAGGCCACCAAGGTGAGCAGAGTCCAAATTCCAAGCCCAAAAGCCCCACATCCTTTCAAGAATTACAAAACATCCATGCAAAGGTTTAAAAATTCCCCCAGACCCTGCTTCAATAGTTAGTTCAGGGCTTAACCAAGTGGCAGAGCTTTACAGCAGAGGCAGAGGTGTGAATCTAAACACGCAGCTATGCCAAGATAAATCCCAGGCACACACACCCTGTAAGATTCCTTGCTAGTATTTTATTCATGCTGCTATGAAAAATTTAACTGAAACAAGGAAAAAAAATCCCTTTTCAGCCCTGAAAAAGCATAATCATGCAGAGAATGAGGCCGAAAGAAAATAATAAGGGTGAGATTCTCTGCAATTACTGACAGGCCAGAACACGCACGTGGGTAGTTACAACACACACCAAACCCCATTTGTGGCTCCCTCTCCACAGAACCCTAGAGGAAGGGTGCAGGAACCACTCTAAAGCTCTGCAATCTCTGAAAGCACTTCGGTCAGGTCAGGCACTGCCTGCTGCTTGCCCAGCCACGTACCAGTGCTGCCATCAAAGCCACCCACGGCGTAGAGGAGGTCGTTGAGCACGGCGGCGCCCAGCGTGCTGCGCCGCTCCTGCATGCTGGCGATGGACGTCCACTGGTCCTTGGCGCCGTCGTACACGTCCACCGTGCGCACCCGCAGCGAGCCGTTAAAGCCCCCCACGGCGTAGACATTGCCAGCCATGAACACCACGCCTGAGGAAAGAGGAGAGGGGTCACAGCAAACTCTCTGGGAAGAGAGCAGGACCTGCCCAGATCGTGCTGGCCGGCCAGGGTGTGAAAGGCGGCTGGGGAGAGCGGAACACGGCGAGGCTTTGGCGTTTTCGGCAGGTTAACAGTGTTGAAGTCGAGCGTGATAAAGCATATGTGTCATATGGGAGGTGAAATGTACATGAAAACATGGCAGCATAAGGCACAGATGGAGTTCACACCTGAATGAGTAATTCTGTGAGCCAGAGGGAACACCAAATGGTGAGGCACATTCACAACTCTGTCAGATGTTTTCAGAGGAACACTCGCAACTTAAAGATCTGCTCTCCATCACCCACTCCTCCACACCAAGAGAGACTGACTCAGCTCCTTTGATTTTCATTAGGAAACCAGCAAGAAAAACTGAACCCCTGTGGACTGCCAAGACAGCAACAGGGGAGGAGGAGGGGAAACACTGATGGAGGAACAGCCAGGAGAGAGAGATGACGAAGGGAGACAGTGGGAGGGCTGACAGGCAGGAGTGCCATTAGAGAGCAGGACATCCACCTGAACAAGAAGGGAAAGATGTCTGTACAGAAAGAAGAAGGCATGGCAAAAAGAAAGAGCTGCTTGAGGCCAGGGGCACAGAGGAAGCTAAAGGGAGGACTAAGGACATCCATCCAGTGCTGAAGAGCTGCATTAGGGAAACAAAGAAGGTTGCAGCAAAAGTTCCCTTTACCTGCTCTGCATCTCCGTGAGGGAAGCTCAGCAACCTGATCCCACCGCTCCTCCTCAAAATCATAGCACTCCACACTGCGAATGGCTTTGGGTGCTTGCCCACCCACCACAATCATCACCTGCAGAGGGAAGAGGAGAGCTAGAAAACCTCAGACATGACCCCAGGCAGCTGCTCTCTGCAGAGAAACCATCACCACAACCCAATCAAGAGCAGCTGCCAAAACATGTGCTGAAGGCCAGCCAGAAGCCTCTGCAGGGACACTTATTTCAGGCAATTATATTTCAAGGGGGAAAAATTTCTCTCCAATTTAATGCGTGCTAAATATGGCCACCCCATTTACCCTTCCTCACCGTGTCCAAGGTGGGCAACTTGCCCAATTTCTCCTTGAAATACAAAACCTTTTGGCACCACAGCATTCCCAAGACTCACTGCAAAAGTATTTTTAAGTGAAGAAGATTCCAGCATAATTTCCACTGGCAGCCCACTGTTTAGTCATTATCTCCATGGTGGTGCTAAAAATAATCAATGCCACTCAGCAAATAAAACGTGACAGCTGCGGTGCCACCTGCGGGGAAGGCGACACTCAGGGAAATCACCAGAACTGCTACGACCTGGGGGGTCTGGGCTGCTGAAGGATGTGATTTGTCAGCTTCATTAAGGCTTTTGGCTGCCACAGGTACTGAAGGAAATACGGGAATTAAACCCTGAATTCCTTACAGGTAGGGAAGAGCTATGTCAGGGTGGTCAAGGGCAACTTCAGGAGTGGAAGAACCACTCTGCTGGATCAGGCTCAGGTTCATCCAGCCCCAGACTCCACTACCAGCAACAGCAAGGAGTGGGCACGGGTTGGTGGGAAAGTGAGACCAGAAGATCTGGGAAGCATGCAGTGTCGTCCTTCCCAAATCTGCCCTATCTGCTGCCAGAAGACAAATTCCCCACGGACATTGGTGCCAGGAGCCTGCAGCTCTGCACTCGAGGGTGCCCATGGCTCTGAGCCCCAGCTGGGCACTGCAAACCCCTGCACAGGCTGCCAGCCCCCAAAACACCTGCACTGGCAAGCAGCTGGACCTGCACTTTGTTCAGCACACATTTCATTCAACCCTCCACAGCCAGCAAGAGGGAGGATTTGCTCCCATTATCACAGCAAATCAGTGGGACAAACATCACTCAAGACAATTTGATCTTTACAAGGCCAAGGAGCTAGAAACAAGATAATGGGTCCTCAAATATAGATACAGAGTAGTTGGAAAACTGGCTTTAGGCTCTGCAAGGCAGCTGGGAGTAGCTGAGGGGATAAGATTGTCACTTGGGTCACTCAGATAACAACCCCAAGCAGGGTTGCTTTAAAAGTAGAGAGCTAGACAGCAATTTAAAGAATTTGAAGAGCATGGAAATAGTGGCCTGTTTGATCTACAGAGATGAGAACATGATATTAGGAACCAAATTGAGTCTAAATTAACAGGCTGACTACTAGTTGTGTAACAGTCTCCCATGGCAAGCCACAGGGCTTCACACGATTACAGAATTAAGGGATTCCACAGCAGACAATAATCCCTCATCAGCAGGACCAACAGGCCAGATGAAAGTTTCTCAGTAACAGGATTGCTGAAAGATCATCACCTCCTTCCCTTTCTTCACAGTTCAAAAGAAGGGAGGAGAGACCTGCAGAAGGATTTGGGTTTGTACTCATAGGTCATGCTATAAAAGATGTTGAGAACTCTGAACTCACTGATTTGCTGTTCCTTTTATCCTTAACTACTTTAGTCCTTGAACAAGGGCCATGTCAGCCCTTCATTATACCCCCAAAGCTGAGCTCTACCAACTTCATCTCAGCAACAGCAGGCAGAAAGGACACTGACACACACTGCAAAACCACGACTTCTCAAAGGACAGTCCAGTATCCAAATATCAGAAACAGCACAGATCTCATACACCCTCCCACAAAGCAACCTCATTATTGTTTGTGCTTGGAAAAATAGCACACTGTGGTTTTGATGTCCTGGAATCTCCAAATGCTTACTAGCACCTTCAGTGGCAGTCTGCTGAGAGACATTGTGCCAAACTGTGTTCATCTCTGGGGCACAGAGAAAAGCTCCTGTGGTAGTTTTTTCCTTCACTAATAAAGTGGTGGCTGGAGCATCCCAGGCCTGCAGGATAAACATGGGGAGTAACAAGGATTATTTATTCAGTTGCTGCTTTGAGTCCATTGAAATTCGCTTCAGACTTCCTGCCCACGGGGCTGGGTGCTGCTGTTTCCTGCTTTCCTGGCTTCTGATTATGGATACAGGAAAGGAAGAGACACCTACTTGTGACCCTCCTCAGCAGGGCTCCACGACACTCTTACCAGGCAGCAGCAACCTCAGCCAGCCCTGCCAGCTCTCCAGCAGCCACTCCACAGCTCAGCGAGCCACCAGCCACTTGTGGCTGACAAAACATTACAAGAGCAGACATACTCCTTCCCCTAAGGGTTTATCCAAGCTTATTCAACTTCATTATGTTCCTTGCTGGGCATAGGCCATGCCAGAAGAGGGAGTAAAACACTTCCAAGCACAGCCACTGAGTCAGGAAAAAGTAACACGGCAAGTACTGGATCTCCTGTCAAAGGACTGAAAATGCCACCAGACACAGGCGTGAGGTGACACAAAGTGACAAGCTCAGCTTACCTTTGGCAAGCTAACGGGGGTCCTTGGCTTTGTCCTGGGATTCTTTATTAGTTGCCTTTGATCCAGAGGAAGCAAATGATATTTCATGGCTTCAATAAGGAAGTCTTTACAGGTGTTGTTATTCTTGATTAAAGCTTCTTCTTCGACTGTCTGAGAACATGCACACACAACAAAGATCATTTACACTGGCACAGGTCACAAGGAGCTTCGTGGAAAGAACATGTAACCTGGAATTTCCCTTCAAATGTACCAACATTAAAAAAAATGCAGGAGACAAACACAGACTTCCAGCTCTTCCCAAAGAAGCACATGCAGCAACATCCAAGCTTCTCACTTTTTCCCAAGATCACTCACAAGAAGTGAGTGTTTTATCACCTTCTGCCAAACACTTGATGCAGCAGAGGAGAATTCACCTCAGTAAGTGATTTCTTTTATCTGAGTCAGAATTTTTAAAGAGAGGCAGTATCTTTTATTCCATTAGAAGATACAGATGAAAGAAAAGAAAAACCATGATGGGTTCATCTTATGAATACCAATTTTATACCAATTGTATTGATTTTTTTAGATATATGATAAAAGCACAGCAGTCAAAAAGCCCAAATGCCAATCCCTTCTTTGGGAATTCTCAGCTCATTATCTAGGCCCAGATGCCAGGAATTAATTTATGAAGAACAATCTCCAAGTCAGACTGAGTCAGAGAGTGCCTCCCTGCCAGCCACACAGACCCAAATGTATGCACAGTACACGTCTTAAACCAAAATTATCATACATTATGTGTTTCCATTATGATGTTTTGCCTGTGCATGACAGAAAAAAGCTGCACGAGCTTGTAACACCACCACTTCAGTATTTTCAGGGTGAAAAATCACAAGATATTAACTTATCAATGCTTCCCCTAGAGGGACAGCAGCTCTGCTCTCAGCATTGCCTGGCAGAGCATGGGTCCCATTTACAAGAAGGTTTCTGAAGCACACGTTGATTTCAGGTTTTTGCTTTTATTCACCTGTTTACAGACTCAGCAACAGACCAAATTACCCATCTCAGACACAAACAGCCAAGCCACTGATAAAGGAGCCACCAAGAGCTTAAGTGCAAGTATTGATGATTTCTTTGCAGACTAACCTGTACCAGGTAATCTCTGGGCAAAAGAGGCAGGCGAACGTGCTCCATCAGCTTAGCCATGTGCTCTAAGCGAGATTCCTTCTCATAATTTATCCAAGAGATAACTGCTTCAAAGACCTACACAGATAAAGTACAATTAAATGGAGAAAAGACAACTTCCTTGCAGAGTCACCCACCCAAAATCAGCAGCATAGTGATTTTAGAGCATCAGAGGAAGGGGGTGCAAGATCTCTATCAAATGAAAAAGCTGTGACTGCACAGAGCACAGGCTGTAGCAAAGAGCTGAGCTGACCATGCATGTTAACAAGCAGCTTCACATCTAGATGTGCTGTATCACTCCCAGAGCTAAGTACATGTCCAGAACAATCATATACTTCTTGGACATTAGCACTGGAAGGCAGCCAGGAAACTTAATGAGCCTGCTGACATTTGCACTGGACATTATTCATGAAATCAGCCACAACAATTACTCCTGATAACAGAGATCTCCCTCCTCCAGGAGCCTGGCCACATAGTAAAGTCACTACGCTCATATTTAATCACTACACCAGTTCCACCAGCCCCCAGAAACCAAAAAGTCTTGAGGACAAGTTCCCCCCACACACAGGGCAAGCCCTGCCTGCAGCCATGGAGCCTCTGCACTGCCTGCATTTCCCTGCTAAAAATACTCAGCTACTCCAGCTGGGGAACAAGGGCACACTGGGCTTCTGGTCTGAACCAAGATCTAGTTTTACTTCCAGATCCAGCTGGTTGAGATAAGCATCCAGAGCCGGAGTCCGTGACAAAGTGCTCACAAACAGCCCCACGGCAGAGCCCTGGCGACGCACAGGCGCAGCAGAAGCCTCCGCTCTGGGCTCCTGTATGAATATGCATGTGCTTATGTAACTGGGAGCCTCACTCACAAAAGAAAGGCCTAAAAATGTCACCGGGAGTGGGAAAGGCTTCCTGGAACACCCAGCAAGGCAGGAAGAGGGGCTGATGCAGTCTCGGATGCTGCACAGCAGGATCTGGATCACTGCAGTGGAGTTTCCACACAGAGACAGAATTAAACTCTGACACATAAGGCACATCTACAGGCAACACTCCCCAAGCTCTCTCACTGCCCAGTTACCCAGGGGCTGAGCAGAGACCCTGTCTGTCCCATGCTTCCCCCAAAGGCATCCCTGGCCCTTCCCTCCAGCATGCCAGGCAAGCGCCCTTGGTTTCAGCTTCCTTCTGGGGTCACTATACGGTCAGGCCAATTTGCACAGATAATTATTTCTTTCTTTCCATCCCGCCCATCACTCCCCAAGAAACCATTTTGTTTGGTCCAAGGTCACTAATTTGACAAAATCAACCAAAAATGAGGGCACCATCTTTCAGTCCCCAATTGTTGCTGGTAAATGTACTTGCAGGAGGCTGTGGCAGACACATCCTGCCATGAAGGAGATGCAGAGCAGAAAGGGGTTTCTTCCTCTTAGGCTAAACTATATACTTTTAAAATGCAGTAAAGCACCAGCCTCATTTCCTGTGCCAACAAAGTTCCTGCTGAACTGTTTGGAATTCAGGACACTGCAATGAGGATTTAAGCAACCCAACAGGGAGTGGTGTAATCAAACCACAGCAAATGCTGAGGAAAATAAATACTGCAGAGCTTTTAAGTATTTTTAAATTAAAATAAATAAGCAAACAAACATTTTAACTTTGGCTATGAGGCCTTTAAAGTAGAAAATGGGTTGTGAGATTTTTTAATTGCAAATGAGTGTGGAAGAAGGATAAAGCAAATGTTTAGCCGACAAATAGGCTTTTCATTAACCTCTTCTGCACAAAGGCTGAGCTGCAGAACAGGTCACAGGGCTGGGACTTACCCAGCTACAGGTCAGGAGGACAGTGAACAAGTCTAAAGGAAGGTAAGGCAACAGGAATATGCACTAGGAAAAAGCTGCTTCCTCGGAGCTGGCGTCCACTCCTGAGTCAGGCAAGCACTGATGCTTCCCTGCTGGGCCTACTCTAAAAATAACTTTTTTTTTTTTTTTTTTAAATCAGATTCTGGCACCTTCCATTGGCTCTGATTCCTAATTTCAGAGAAGGGAAAAAGGCTTTAATCCAAGACAGCAATATCTCCATTTAAAGGCCACATCTGTTTCCAGTCCTGCCGTGCCCGCTGCAGACCCCGAGCAGCTGCTGCCGCTCCCCCGCGACCCTCCAGCCATGCAGGACCTGCTGCCAGGGTGGGATGGGCAAAGCAGTTGCCCACACAGCTTGATTTAGAGCTGAAGTAGCAGCTGGCACCTGCCTGGCTGCAGGAGCAGTCCCGAGCTTGGGAGAAGTAAATTTCCCACTCTGTGGAGGAGAAGGGTAAAAGCCTGGAATATCTCCTCTCTGCATATTGCCTAAGGAAGGAGCAAGCCCAGACGTTTTCCCAGTCTCTTCAGCCAAAAATCCATTTGTTAGAGACTCCCAAGAGTGAGGGCCAAACCTTGCATCAGCTTCTGCTGCATGTCAGCAGCATGAGACAATGAATCAATTACCAGACTTTGCATAGAAACCCCAATCCAAAAAAATCCCAACCCTCTAAAATATTTCTTTAGCCACTGTTCTGAGTTGGCAGGAGACCATTTTCAAGTCCCCCCACTTCATACATCTTTAGTAAATAACAAATAATTATTATTTTTATATTGTTTTTTACGTTGCAAACAGTAAAAAGATCCAATTAGGTCAGGTACAGAAAACATTAGTAAAACTGTCTTCCACTGTAGTGTACTCAGCTATAGCAAAAAGAGCAAGCAGGGACAACAAACCTCTGCTCTATTCTGAACGGGCCTGTGTAACTTCAGAGGCTGGTACAACAAGGCGGACAGAAGAGAAAGGAGAAGAATCTTGGAGTGATGAGAAAATGCTGTCACCACTTGACAATTAAAATAGATTTCTGTGCTAGCAGAGAATTTTTGTCATCCTGATGGCCTAGGGGTATAAATAAGCCAAAATTGGTGAAGATAAGGATATATTTTATTAAGCCAATTGGTATCAGTTGTGGGGTGCAGAGGAAGGGGAGAACACACAAATTCCTGAGGCATTCCAAGAGCAATTCTCCCTCCCTGATCCTGGCAGAACTTGGCTCTAACACATCTCAGTGATCCAGGGATGGCAGTGCTCTGGCTCACAGGCACAGAACATGTATGAGACACAGCAAGAAGAGGAACAAGAAAGCTCCTTGTGAAATCTGGCTGTGACAATTAAGCTGCCAGATTTCTGAAATATTTTGCACATGCATACACACAGATACACGTGTGCATGTAGGACTGGTATACACATATATATACTTTCATATAATTTGTTTTATAATATCTATCTCAAGCATTAGCAGACAGGAAGAATAAAAGTGAGGAAAACAGCTTGTCTGTCACAAAGTTAACATGAAACAGCAGCCTAGGAGTCTGTCCTCAATTTCCAGCACTTCTTTGAACTCCAGCACATTTCATGCTTATGTTCCATTCCCATTTTCTGCCTTTCTCCTGTTATTCAGGTCTGTTGTTTTGAACGTGCAGCTTATGCTTACATTTCCTTCCACGGCCTTGCATTCTCAACAATCTTTTCTTTTACAAGTTCTTTTACAGTCAGCTAAAGAAATACTGGGTTTGATTGTGTAAAGCTCAGATGAGGGAAGGAGCATTTTGATTCCCCTGGGCACAAGGCCAATAAAAGCTTTTGAACAATGCTTCACAGGACTGGAAAAAATTGGTTACTAAACTTGCACTTCCCTTTGCAGGCTGCTTGGCTCAGGCAGAGGGATTCTGCTGTGAGTTGGTGCCATTTGCTGTTTCCCTTGCTGGCCCTGCCCCAGTGGCACCTCGCAGCCCCACGCCTGCGGGAACGCGCCCGGAGGCTCCGAGTTCGCTGGCTCAGGATCAGCAGGGAGCACCCCTGAGCCCACACCTCACATGGAGCAGGATTTCTGGAGAGTTTTACAGTGCCTCTGGGCCCAAGCACTTGTGTGTGCGCAGCCCAGAGGGGCTGAGCAGGAGAAGAGCACATGTGAGGATGTGCAGCACCACCACACCCAGGACCAGCCCCAGCCCACCCAAATGCAGACACCCAGTAAGGGCCCTGAAGTTACAAACCACACAACCCTCAAGCTCTCCTGTGGCCTCCCACAAGTGACCATTTACATTTAGGAACATGGTTTAGTGGTGGACCTGGCAGTGCTGTGTTAGTGGCCGAACTCAATGATCTTAAATGTCTTTTCCAACCTCACTGATTCTGTGACTTTACAATCTCCCCACAGTGACAATTTGGAGATGAGCTGAACGACTGGAGGCACGTGCCTGTCCCCAGAAACCTGCAGCAGGTCACACAAGAAACTCAGACCAGAGAATGGGGCTGGAGTTCACCAAGCACCATAAACACTGCTCACCCTGTTCCCCAGGACTCCAGACTACACAAGATGTGCTGAACGTTTCAACACAAAAACAGTATTAACCAGTGCCTTTTTCCCTTTTTTTATTAAAAACACTGAAGATACTAGAAAAATACTTCCTTCCTTCCTTTTGGTTCTGGGCTTCCTTTTGTTTTTCTAGCCAACATGCAACAGAAGCCAATATTCCTCCCCTGCCTAATGAAATTCACTTTTTGGGGGGGGTTTCACAGCAGGTATTAAATGCTTTACACAACAGCAGATGGGAGTTTCTTAGTTTTCCAGAGAGGGAAAGTAGTTGGTTCTGAGCCCCAGGGCTTCTAGCATGATATGGATCTGAGAGTCATAACTTCCTGCAAAGAACAACCAAGTGAAGGTCATTTTTATGTGCTTTTAGGATTCACATTATTTTAATTTTCCTTTCCACATGATCTCTGTTGGAGAATGGCCCCTAAGGAGCATATCATAACAGTTCCTGGTGTAAGAACTAGAAACATTCCAGCATTCTTACATTCAGTCTTGCTATACAATTTACTGTACCTTTTCTTCAGAGGAGACTGTGAGCTTGTCACTTGATATTAAACTGCAAACCTGGTCCAGACTAAGGCTAAGAAATTCTTCTCCTAGCATCACCTCAGGGAAGTGCTGCTCTGTTCAACAAACGAAAAGGGGGAACAGAAAATTATAATGAAATCCATGTTTTCAGTCAGTGGCAGGACCACAGCGTGAGAGAACAGCTCTGAGCACCCAAGACAGACCCACAGCAGCTGTGAGTGGAGCACAGACAGAAACCACCCCCAGAGCAGGATAAAGAAACCTCATGTTATTTCAAGCAGCACAAGCCCCATGAAATACTTTCATAAATGATACTAAACTTTCTGAAAAGCCACTGAGACTATTCCAGTGGCAAATACAGTTAGAAGTGGCAATTGAGACAAGGGCCAATATACAAAGTAGTAAATAACCTGGCCACCACAGCATCCACCTCCCCAGTAGTTTTCCCCTTTCCACTTAAGCCTACAATTGTACATATTACTATTTCTCCCTTTTTTGCCTCCAGATCCCTCTATACTGTAACTCTGGGAGCCACTTGAAAACAAAAAGCATGAATATAACCCCAAACTGGAAGAATTACGACTGAGCATCATCAAATCTGTCAAGCTTTATATCTAGCCAAAAGGCACACAAAATAAGCACTTCCTAAAAAATAATTTCTAGGTCAAATATGTCATTAGCCATCTGCAGCAATTTTAGTTTTGCAAGAATTTCTTACATATACTGCCAATTTAATCTCACCTGTCACTTGCTAAGTCCCATTTATCTTTGGCTGAATTACAGAAACATGAATCTCAGACACTTTATCTGAAGCAGCTTCTTTCAAGCTCTAATTCTGTAGCTTTGAGAAGCTCAGACTCCTGTATCCAAAAAGCTCTCTGCAGCAAGATCTGCCTCGAGTTTTCACATCTGCAAAGTGCTTTGCCTGACAAAAAGCAGCACCACAGGGACATGAGCTGGCATAACTTCCAGAGAGGAGATTTTTGGAGCCCCTGAACAACCCCTCAGCACAGCTGCTGCTGCAGAGTTTGACTCTGGACTTGGACACCCCAGTCACAGACCCTCCTTGCTCTACTGAGGACCAAAACCCCACAGTTAAGCCAAAGGCTCTGATTAAAAATAGCAGAATGTGGATAAAATATAATACTCTGTTATGCTGGAAACATACATATGATCTAATGAACTCTTTAGGTCTCAAATATTTAAGAGGCAGGAAACACTCCCCACATAATAAGCTGGATGTACTCTGACTTCTGGGCAAAATCTCATATTCATTCATTCTGGACTTGCATCTGGCAGCAGAAAGGTATTTGATCTCTCATTATTAGTTGGAAGCAAGGAAGAATATTTACTGATTTTAATAAAGGAACTGGTGCCTGCATCAAGGAGGCTCCTTCACCTACTAAAGTTATCCATTGGCCAGAACTCAGCATTTCTCAAGTAACTGAGCTCATGCATGCATGGACTCTTGAGCTTGGGGACTTCTGTCTTGGTTTAAGGCTGTTACATAAACAACATAGTGAAAAGAATTTTAATGGCATTTTTATTAATGGAGTTCCATTAACATTACATGGGCTGCTGTACTAACTGGGACCTACGAAGGCCAATAAAACAACAAAGCAGACCTTCTAATTGCCAAACAACCAAATAAATATACAGTGAATGCACTGCTTGTTGGGTTAAAGATTAAACAGGGCCTGGAAACAAGGATAATGAGATATTACAAGCAAGCTTTTATACAATTAACCATTCCTTCCAGGGTACCTTTTTCTCCAGGGGATAATACAGCCAGAGCAGCTGAAAAGGTTTTAGTTTTATTTGCAGGAGAATAGGGGAGGACTCAGTGGATACATTTTTATTCCACTGAGCCTACTTAGGGTCCAATTAAGGACAAAACTGTAAAAAGGAAAATGTTGCAGGACAGAGCAGGTGCTCTGGAAAAGAGCAGGTGTATGTGTCCCTATACAAATTATCAGAAAACAGAAAAACAAACTAGGAGAAAACTATCAGCTTCTCCCAAGCAGAGGTCAAGGGCAACTCTGCTGGAGGAGACCGGAAAGTGCTGGGCAATTCAGAGCTTGAGGCTGGCTGAAAAAGCTTTACATTTATGATGTAGAGGAGAAATGCTGAAAGCCATTGCCTGCACCTACTTACTGCAACCAAACACATCCACTCCCAAAGAAACATGAGCCCTTGGGGTAAGGGGCCATTGCTGCACAGATCAGAGCCTCAGACTGCATGGCAATTTTAGCTGAGTGCTCCAGCTCCCACCCCAGGATTTAACTTTGCTCAGTGCTGTTTATTCCCACAATGGAAACGTCCAGCAGTGCCTGCTGCTCTCCCAGGGCAGGGTCCATGCGAAGGACACCAGCACCAACGCTGAGCTGTTCAACAGGCACACCAAGAGCTTGCTAGGATCACACTCAGGAACTGTTTTGTGGCTTGAGATCCAGAGGATCAAACTTTTTTACTTCCTAAACTCCTCCTTTTTCACCTCCTAAGGTGCTCCCCTGTGACCAAACCACATTTCACAACCTGCAGCACCACTGAACTAAACAAAGCATTCCCTTCCTGTTTGAATAGCAGAAATCTGAAGAGACCAAGCAGGACTCCAAGCTGCTGTGCCTGGAGGCAGGGTGAGCTGCAGAGCCAGACCCCCTCCCCTCTCACCCCCTCCTCACCTGCGTAGGCGTTGGCCTGCTGCAGCAGCTCGCTGCAGGCGTGCACGTCGGCGAAGGCGCGGATGCCAAGGCAGTTTGTGGGGTGCAGCTGGGACTGCAGGAAGTCACAGCAGTTTTTTCTAACATCCATCAGTTGCAATAAACTGGCAGCTGGCAACAAAACCTGCAAAGGCACGAGAGGGAAATGAAAGCGAGTAACGAGGGGTGATTCACAGCTTGCACAGGTTGGAGGCAATTCCCATCCAGACAGGGACAGGTCCCTGTGGGGTGATGAGAAGGAAGGTTCAAGTCTTAGCTCTACTCATTCCCTGTTCATGCCCTGAGACATGAAAATGCTATCCTACACTGGGCTGTAAGTGGAACTCTTCCCACAGCTTCTCCCCACAAGACCTCAATGCAAAGTGAGGACAAGGTAAAAGCAACCACAGATGCTCCTGAATTTCTAACTTTGCTGCAGGTAGGTCCTGCACACAGATTTATTTTTTTTTCCCCCAAAGGGCTTTATATTATTTATAAGCATTGCCACCAGATTCAAAACCCATAGCAGCCCAGCAGTCCTCAAAACCCTGGACTTTGTTACTTCCAACAAAACCTTATTGGCTTGTGAGGAGGGTCCCCAAGCAGTCATGTAAGAGAGGGGGTTCCCAAAAGCTCAAGCAGGCTTTGGTGACAGCAAGGCTCTTGGGAAAGATAGGTCCAACTATTCAGATCAGCAGCTCTCATTTGCACTTACACAAAATGCTGGGGACATTTGTGGATCATGGCTGCATCTGAATATGAGGTACTGCTTTGTACCTCCAAAACTAAGCATAGAAAAAGGAGACAGAAATGGATGATGAACGTGACATCTACTGGAAAAAAAAACACCTTTGAGGCCAGTGAGAAGGACAGGAAGTAGAAAACAAAATCCATCAGGACATTACAGCCCGTGACATCAGCTACTTCCTTTCTTATGTTCAACAGCAACTGCAGACGTGTCTTATTCCAGCTTTTCCACAGCTCTGGCTGCCTCACACATGTCCTTCCAACCGGGCATCTGTGCTCACCATCTGAGCACACATTTCCGGAAAGTAATTGCCAACTCAAAAAAAATAAGCAGCTGTTAAACAAAACAAATAGGTTAACAGCATTCACCTCCTTGAATCCCGATGGCAGCAAAGAGATAAAGATGCTCCCTCCCTGTTCCTGCCACCACAGTCCCATTTCACACCAGGGCAGGACACTCACAGCCTTCTCCAGGTCTTTCTAAGCAACTGCTGTGTTCCACTGCAGCCCAGCTGTAGAGTGGCTCACTGCTGCCAAGCAGCCACCCTAACAGGCAACAATAAAAAGAGAAGTCAATTAACCCAGGAGCCTGTTTTGGCCCAAGCCTCTTGATGCCAAGAGCAAATTAGTTTGTGGCTTTGATTAAGTCAAGATAGCAATGCTCTAGGATTTTGAAACGTGGCTGTGAACCACTTTCTTTCTTGCTGAACCATTTCTGAACACCTGAGCTACATAAGGGCTTTGGGTAGCCAAGTCCGACTCCATGCAAGCCATCTCTGGCTACAGACCAGCCAGAGCCTCCTCTGTGCACCCCCATCATCCAGGACACATCCCTGCCAGTCCAGGTGGGCTGCTCACCTCTGGTGTCTGGGATGTGGCCTCCAGACCAAAAGGAACTCACCACCATCCCCACACGCACCAGCCCCTGCACAAACCAGTGCTGCTGTCATGGCCTGTGCTGCCTTGAGAAGCAGTGCAGAAGGAGCCTTACAGCACTTCAGCCTTCAGGAAAGTGACATTATCATACAGCACTTCTCAGAAATAGGATATAAAAAGCCTATCAAGAGATGATAGAGGGATTTTCTCTTTCTTACTTCCCAGCTGAATGTCTCAACACTCATCTTGTTTTTACCAGGCAAGGCAAAAAGCAAGCAAAGGATTTCCGTGAGAACAGTCTGTTTCCTTTAGAAATAACAAGAGGAAATGCCCTGCCTAAACATGCAGCAGGACCAAACTGCAACCCCATTAATATCCAGGCAAGTTACTCACATGGCTCTGGATTTGGCTCTTAATATTTGAGTTCAACAGCCATTAATGATTTTGTGAGAGCTGGTTTCTCTACCAGATCTGCCTCCAAATCAAAACACACTCATTTTTTTGAAACTATGTCAAAATTATCAGCTATTACTACTAAGACTGACTACCTTTGCTTAATTTATGTCCAGAGCTTCATCTACGGGGTGTGTCTGGATATATATATATACACATATAGCATCTAGTTCACCAGCTGTGCTCTGCAGACTCCACACAAATTTCAAGTTTTACACAACATTGCCTGGGCAATTACTTCCATAGACCTTTGATGTCTCTAAACTAGAAACATCTTTCAGCTAAACGTGCTCTGTATCTATAAGGTTCATTCATTAATGCTGGACTGCAGAGGCTGGGGTTAATTCCCTACTGTGACAGAGCCTTACAGGTAGCCTTGGCCAAAAGTTAACTTACATCATTCCTGCTCTGCAAAACTGGCAAAGGAGCATTCCCCCTAGGCAGGGGATGTATTAAAGCTTATAAGCAGCTTTGACAATTTGATGACATTGGAAGCCAAATAAAAGTACTGGCTGTAAGCCTCAGCTGCACACCCAGGGCCACAGCTGGGACTGCACATCTGCCCAAACAGGGAGACAGCTCGCAGGCACCTGCCCAGGGGAACCCGTGACCAGAGAAACAAATGGATTTTGCGCTTGCAAGGCAGGTAAAATACTCAGTTTTAAACAAGCTGCTCTAAACAGCACAAATAGTAGAGATAAAACGACATTAGCATAATGTGGCTTTTGAGTGCAAGGGGACAATCAGGCTTTATTACACCCCAGCTGCTCCCAGGCAGCACATGGGCTGAACAACAGTACTTCCACTTAAATGCTCCACCTGAGGTGAAATAGCCCAGACAGAGGAAGGTGTGACAGCACCAGGGAGTCAAAAAACCTTGTCAGGAGCAGGAGATGGACAAAGACTGTAGAGATTAGAGAGATAACAGGAGAACAACTGGCAACTTCCCTCCTGAGCTACCTTCTCCAACTTCAGACACACCATCCCTTGGTTAAACAGCGAAATAAAAAAAGTGAAGACATGCATCAGGCACAACACAGTGCTCTGGTGTCACATCCATAAGTTTCTCCTCAGCCTAAGAACGAGCCAATTTAAAAGACCTCCTATGGGTTTAAGGAAGGGCCCCCAGCCCAGAGGAGTCCCCCTTGCAATGGATCAGGGACCCCTGGACCACAGGGAGATGCACAGCAAGGAGCTTTGGCTCCAGGGAGGAACACAGCCTCAATTTATTGCTGTGCCTCACCCTGGGCTTGCACCTAATAAAGCTGCAGCTTTTGAACTGAATAGGGGAAGAGAGATGGACTGACCCATTCATAAACCCTTTATCATCAAAACTGCACTTGCCAGAGAACTCTCTTTCCTTGCTGTGAACTCCTAAGTGTGCAGGGAAAGCTGAGGTGCAGAAGCACTTCTGAAACAGAATTATTGCAGCTCCTAGCACATCTTTTTTCCTCTTTTCTTGAGACATTTTTTATGAAAATTACTATGCCTGCCAAGCTGACAGGTTCAATATCTACTTCCTCCAGAGAGCTGATTTCAGATTTGTTCTCTGTGTATGAGCCATATCTCAGCCTGTGGCAGTACACAAGGACACCTCACAGATGTGGTCCATGGCACATCATTCCTAACAACTTAATTGTGAAGCCAGGTTCATCAGGACTTTTTCCAGGGAATCATTACAACCTGAATCATAATGACTTTCTTAATTGGAAGGGCACTTCTCAGGCTGCCTGCCACTAATGAGGTGTCATAGGTAAGGCTGGTTGGGACACACTAAGGAGCGACTGGATTCACTGCCTAGAGCCAGAGGTCCAGGTGTTTTCCCAGGACTGCCTAGGACAGGGAAGGGCCTGCTCCCAAATCTCTTCATTCAGCTCTGCTCAAGGACATCATGCAGAGCTTCTCCATCACTGAGCGACCAGGTTTGATATGAAAGTTGGAAAGCAGGCAGCAATGTAACCACTTCAGCAGCAAAATCAAGATCTATTTGAAAAATTCAGGTAATTGATATGTTAAAAGCAAGCTACCCCACACATGTAGGGAGCAGCAGAGCCTGTGCTCTGATAGTGTTTATGATTTCCATTGAGATCAGCCCACGAACCTGAGCATCTGTGAAGTTCCCCAAGACACTCACTTTAGTTTTCCTTCCTTTTACAGAAACTGCATGACATGACTTCCTTCTAAATAAATGTATCAAAATCCATCTTCAAATGAATGAGGTCTTTATATCATGCATATCAAAATTTACAACCAACCTTGACGTGGGATGCAACAGAAGAGGAACAACAGAAGGCAGCAGGTGTAGAAATCCCAGGATGGATTTTCCTGAAACAACACGACTGCAATAAAGACAGAAATTCTGTCTCTGCTCCATGCCTTCCAAACAAGTGGGAGGCTCAATCCTAAATACATGTTCACAGGTAAAACTTCCCTATCATCCATCATCCCTGAGCTCTCCTACTGCTGCACCTATACTGCCTTGAAATCCCACTCTAAGAATGAAGTTCCAATAGATAAAGCACAATTGCATTTGTTGGGGTAATTCTCAGCCATGCACCCCAGCAGGGTTAGAAGAGAGTATTCCCTCCACATGGGCTCAGGGTGAGCTGAAAATCCCCTTTGCCTGCACATTTGGGACATAATCTTGAGAAGGAATTGGATGGCCACCCCCCTGAACTCACTACATAGATGATGACTGGAACTGACCATGCAGGCTTGGCCCCTGGTGCACGTATCTATCCTTACATAAAAAACAAAACAAAAGACGTTGTGTCATTTCATTGCACAATCAGCTACAGAAATACGTGCTTAGAAAAAGAGTCTCACTTCCTGAGCCCATACCAGGCCTATAAAAGCAAAACAAAATACAGGTTTCTATTAGAAAAGAAACAAAAAAAGAACTTGTTAAAAGGCTTCTTGTTGTGAAGGGCTGGGCACTGCTCAGCATTCAAGCAAACCTAGGAACATTCATTCTGCACTCCATGCTACCTTTACTGTTCATCTTTTTCTCATTTCTATCCTGCTCTCATCTTATTTTTCTCACTGACAAGACAATGTCTTTTCATTTATTCACAAGTCCTGATACCTTGGTTGCATCTACTCAGTTAATGCCATTGTGCAATATTTTGTCTTTTCATAATTTCTACAGTGACATTACCTGGCACCTGTACCCAGAAATTGTTTCTTCCAGCTACTGAGAAAGTCTGAAGAACTCCCTTAAAAAAGCACCCTTGCCCAGCTAGAAATTCAGAACATGTGACAAGGAAACAGGAGAGCTCAGGAGATACCTGCTGGGAAAAGAGAAAGCCTCACTGTGCTCAAGCAGGGCTGCAAAGAAACAATTGCTGACACAGCACAGACAGGCACTACTGAGGTGTCCTTCCATGGATGGGTGGATGGATGGATGGATGGATGGACGGACGGATGGATGGATGGACGGACTGACGGATGGATGGATGGATGGATGGATGGATGGATGGATGGATGGATGGATGGATGACCCAAAGCTGTACAGCAGGAGGATGTGGTGATGCAAGGGACCAAACCTGCTCACTTCTTTCTAACACTGACACTGCTGATGAAAAACTACAAGAAGCTTAATTTTTGTTTTTAGCCTTCACTTCATGTGAAACTTTCCAATAAATTACAGAATATTCACTTCTGTAACCTTTTCTTCTTGTGGCTAAAGGTGAATATTAACCTGTTTATGGCATTTTGTTCAGAGTGAAACACCCAGGGACAGGATAAAAACTTCTCTTTCTATTGGTTTCATAACACACTTATATTAAATTCCATGAAACATTTTCATCATGAACACTTTAAATATGTAATAAAATTTAAACTAGTCAGTTAATCTTGCAGTAGATCAGCTTCATTTCTTAGCTCCTATGAATTAATTTACCTCTAGCATGAAGAGTTAATACAGAGTGGATATTGAAATAAATGCTGCAGTAAAAGGACCTGCTTTACTAGATCGGGAAAAAACATTTAGTATTCAAAACTTACATTTTTTTTATCTTACTGTCTGAGAGATTAAAGCCAAAATGTAGCCAGGGATCTGCTTTAACTCCCTGTAATCCCTAGGCCACAGAAGGCAGGCTTTGGTTATGTTTTACTAAAAAATATGGCTGTCTAGTAGCTCAGGAAAAGCAACACCTGGAGTTTCACAGACCTTCTGGGCAGGATGGAGCTGCTCCAGCTCCCACAGCACTGCTCACACCCCTTTTGGTGCAGCTGGAGCACCAAAGCCAGAATGCAGCTGGGGTCACTGCCCAAGCCCCATCCAAGGCAGGCTCAGCAGACGGGATCCCAAGCACTGCACATCCCACGAGCCAAGTGGGAGCTTCTGGAGCACCTGCCCCAGCAGCGTGGAAGGAAAGCACACCTTTCACAAAGCACGTGGATACAGTCTCCATATTCCCCACAGAAACAGGGACCAGCCTGAGGGTGTGTAAATGTCATTTCTCCTCCAGCAATGGGAGAACTCAGAGGTGCAAGGAGCTCCACGCCAGTCCCCCGCTGAGTGATGTTGTGCCAGCTCCTGATGACCCTGCTGTGGGTCACACAGCAGACAGCCAGGCCAGGCCACCCAGGGATGGGCTTGAGTCTCAGCTCCTTTGCCATAATGCACCTTGAAGGGCCCCTCACTGATGGCTCTCAGCCTCGCTGCAGGGCAGCCAGGCTCTACACTCCTACCAGTGGGACACTGCCAGGCTGAGAGCACACCAAACAGACACATTTGTAAAACCAGAGGGCAGAAGGGGCAAGAAAATCCCCCACAGATTTGGGTCATGAAGGATGGTGCAGGGCTGCACTGCAAAGTGGGAGCAGCTCAGGGGTTTGTCCAAGCTCCTGGACAGGGCAGCAAGAACCTGCACTCTGCCTGAGGGGCTGGAGCAGAAGAGCTCACAGCAAGAACCCCATTTCTAGCAGAACCAGTCTAATTTTGCTGTGCTAATTAGGTCAGCAAAACTCTCCCCAGCATCATTGACCACAGACTTGCTCCCCTGGCAGTGTCCAAGTCAAAGTGAGGAGAACAGGCTCAAACTGCCACTTGCAAACAAAACCAGACCAACTGAAAAGCACGTCCACACACAAGCTCTCAGCATCCCTCCCAGACATCAGTGCTTAAGTGCAGAGCATTTTTCTTACCACAAATACAAGCAGAGTCTAAGAAAGAGCTTTACCAGCAGCCACAGCCACGTGACATTGCAAAACACTCTTCCTGAGCACCCTGCTTTATTTGAAGGCAGCCTTTCAATTACTCTTTCCACTTCTGAGCAAATATTTACCTCTCAGAAATTCAAGACAGAGCACACACACAAAAAAAAAAGGAAGGATGTCCTCATTTGAACAATGTATTCCACTCAAAGCTCTGTGAAACAACTCAAACTACCCAGAAGAATTTAAAAACTAACAGCCACATTCCTCTGCCATGGCCTTAAACCATTTGACTCACTGCTTGTTTGAGTCTATTCTGACCTTCGACAGACTGACCCACAAGTCAGCACAGCTTCTTGGAAGGCAGATGCCTGCTCCTGTTACAACAGCTCCACACAAAAGCTAAATGCAACATGACTTAAGCGTGGGGAAAGCACTAAAGTGCCTCAAGACTAAACAGAGGCTGGAAGCAGCTCTTTTCAAGCTCAACCTTTTACTTTCCACAGCCTGAGGAGATCCCTCACCCCCAAAGAACCTGTGCCTTTGAGCTCCAAGCTTTCCACCTGGCTCTCCACAGGAGCAGCTGAAGCAGACCCACCTGCACATTCTCCTCCGTGACCTCGATCTCAGCAGTGTAGATGTAATCAATCAGCTTCCTCAGGGTCTGCCCATCCACGTCTTTGATCTCAATCTTCTTGGCCTTACTTTCAGACATGTCTCCTGAAATTCAGTTCAAAAGGACAGTCACAGTTTGCTCTGCAGGACCTTGCTCCTCACATTGTCCCGGTGTCTGACTACGAGACTGCCTGGCATTATCCCTCACCACTGAAGAACCACCAGTGAGATTCCCAGAAGCATCCTAATGCCACCTAAAAAACAACTCCAGATTGAGGACACTGGTGTAAAACAACATAAATCAATAAAAGCAAAAAACTCAATTTCTTGACAGAAAAGAACCTGCCATGGTTCACCTGCATTCAAACAAATATAAGAGCTAAAAATAAACCCCAGTATGTCCCTCAATCATGTCTCAGAACAGAGACAGACTCAAAGAGACTGTGGATGTGTCTTACAAAGGCCTTTGAGAAATATAGTTTTATATCCATTTATTATTTTTTTTAAATATATATACATATGGACACAATGAATATGAATGAACATGAATGAATATAAATTAATATGTTACAACAGCAACACTAAGGTATTTTTTTTGTATATCCTACATTAAAAGCAATGCAGTGGTATTCTCTGTCTTTAGAAAGAAGCTGAAACCTGCTCAGGAAAACAAGCACACAGGCCAGCAGTTACACCCAGCATGCAGCAAGCTTCTCTCCTAATTACCCTGCTGTAAGCTATCCATCACTACACCTTGTGCAAAGCATCCACACAGAAAGATGCAGTTCTCATCTCTCACCTTCCCAACCTCACACCTCTGGATCCAAACTGCATCCCTTCCCCAAAGCCATAACTCAAAAGCATGTGGAACTAGAGCAGTAATTTCTTCCCTGAATACACAAGTAAAGCCCCATAGCTGTGTAAGAGCCTATTCATGACCCAGAGCTTTATGCACACCTCCACACCCCCCGTGCAACAGGAGCACATCAGAGGAACAAAAACATGCAGTGGGGAGGAGAAAGGACTCCCCACGGCCCTTCCAGCGTCCCCACACATGCCGACCTCACCCAGGAGTTAATCACCAGGATCTCCACAGAAAAGAAAGAACAAACTCCCAAGCGGAAAGAAAATGATAGGTGGAAAAACAAAGCCAAAGGAGAGCATAAAGAAATGTCAATTCTTAAACCTGGGCATGAATAATCACTACTCTCAGAAATCCGGTGACTCAGTACTGCTGTGGGATTAAGTGGAAAAATATTTCCTGCAGCCTATAGAAGTAATTACAGCCTACATCTCTGTGCAGCATTCCACAGGACGTGGCCAGGCACAGTAAGTGCACAGCACAGACTCAGATGCTAAAAAGGGCCCAAGCTTGAGCAAAACCTGGATCCTGCTAATTGAACTTTGCTGACTTTCCCTGTGTGAATAAGGAGGTAAATAAAAGGAGTGGGGTGGGACCATGAGTGTTAGAACAGTCAACAACGTCCCAAGAACTGAAATAATATTTGCCCCAAATTCAATTTTTAAAATTGAATAATAAAATGTTATTCAGAGAAGCTCATGAATACAAATGTACCAGTACAAAGGGATAAATGACCTACATTTGGAAGGCCTTCAAAGTAGGTAGGACTTCTTAATTGACAAAATGTCATCTTCACACACTTCCTCCCCCTAACAAAAGCCCCAAACATCTCCAGAGATGAAAGGGTGCTTCGGAGGACAGAGCAGTCCCCATCAGCCCTGTGGTGCTGGAGGTGCCTGTAAGGAGCACCCAGTGAATCCCCCTGCACTGGGAGGGTGAGTGGGACCCTGCAGGACCCCTGCAGGTGTGGGGAGGGGCTCGGCCACACACACCCAGAGATGGATGCAGAAATAGCCTGCAGGGACCAATCTGATAACATCATCTGGCGTGGTGGCATCCATGTGACACAAGCAACAAAAATAAAAGCTGTGTGGGTTTCCCCACCCACCAGCAAGCTGCCAGCCCTGCATACCAACAGGCTCCTCTGGCTCTGCTGCAGGACCAGCCCAGGCAGCCCCGGGAGGGTCTCGTGTGCTGTGCCCACCGTTGGGCAGGATCCGACTCAGAGACATCCAGCCCCTCCCACGTGTCACAGGTGGACAAATCTCCAGTGCTGTAGAATAGGGAAGAGCCTGGAAACACCACAAGGGAACCAAGGCAGGGGTTGGTGCAGACCAGGAGCAGGCAACAGACCTGGGGCAAGCCTCTGGAGCAGCCTGTGGGCAGCTGAGGGCTTCTCATCTCACATCTCTTCAGAAAAAACCTATACTTCAAACCCCACAAAACACAACTCCTAGGGTGTCTTTCATAAGCCAGACTCCAGCCCTACCTGATACCTTAATTACACAATTATTCCAGTCACTAGCATCTCCCACACGTGAGAAAGGGCTGCCTTGCAGGAGGCACTGCACAGACCCTGTCCCTGCAGACAGGCAGACACAGGGGACGAGGTGAGAGGGAGCAAAGGCAGGCAAAACAGGCAGGGTGGCTTTGAGCAGACCTCTGTAGGGGACAGACTTAGCAGACACCAGCCCCCCATGGAGGCATTCCTTTCCTGCACTACAGTACAGCACTCAACACCCAGCAGTGCCTTTTCCACGCCCCTCTGCTCATCAGGGCAAGAAGAGAGCAGAGCTCTGTGTTGTCACAAGATGAACCACACTCCAAACTGCAGCAGCCCACGGTGCAGTGTTTACCCAGCACAGCAGCCTGCCCTGCTCCTACACATTGCATTTCCCAGTGCAGAACCACAGCTTTGGCTGTTTCCTAAGTCACAGATGTGCTGAGGGAGCATGTGAGTGCATTGGATAACAAAAGCACAGCCTCTCACACATGGGGTGAGTGCTTTGAAGCAGCACATAAGACCTGCAAGGGAGGTTTCTGCTTCCTCCTTCAGCATTTCCAAAATTCCTAAGGTATCTGACAGGAGCAGTCCTAGCAGTGTCACTCAGGTATTTGTTACCCTTTCTAAAATGATTGTGTTTTCTTCTAAATGGACAGACATTACTGTCCCAAATCGTCCCCACAGAATAGTGCCAACAAGGACCAGCATCCAAAATGCTCCAGAAAGCCAGCATGGAAAGGGCCACTCTGGAAGTGCTGGTCCCATCTCTCCTTCAGCAGTGGAAGATACAAATGGAAAATGTGCCTACCCAATTTCAGACTTTCCAGGAATACTTCAGAGAGGAATGGCTAACCAGAGGAAACCCATGGCTTAGGAAAGACCCCAAGGTGATCACAAGGTCATTCATGGCTCCAAAGTCAGGGCCAGCTGACAATGACAGAGCCTGCAGAGCAAGTGCTGGGCAAAGGTGGATGAGCTGAGGGTCCCAATTGGCTCCCACTGCTCACAGCTCCACACTGATCCCTCCATACTCACTGCTGGGGGACCCCTCCAGTGGGAATTCAGTGTGCACAAGCAGCTCCTGCAAATACCCCCACAGTGCAGCTGAACCTGAGCCCTTGGCCCTATCACTGCTGTGCAGTGCAAAAAAAAACAAGTTACAACACCCAGCTGGTGCTGAAGGTGTGATTTTAAACTGTGCCCTTGCAGGGAGTGAAGGAAGGAAGATCACACACTGTCTTCACGAGAGAGAGATCCAGACCTTGGGAATTCAGGGATAGCTAGACTGAAAGCAAAGGGAGAGCTGGTCTTTGGCTGACCCTCTGCCCCCGGGGACTTGTCAGGGGGAGGGGACAGGCGGCTGTGGAGGCTGTCACCCAGCCCAGGGGAGCTCTGGAGCCAGCCACATGATGGGTTAGCTGATTACTGTTTAACTCACAGAGTGAGGGATTACACGGCCCAGAGAACTCCTGCATGGAAACATGAGCAGCCCTGCACCACCACCTTCCCACTCAGATGACCTCTAAGGATCAGAGGGTTTTTCCAAGCGTTTTTCTTTATTAAACTCTTCATCAGGACAAGCATCACAAGCTGTGCTCGAGGTGCCCTCACACAGAGCTGCTTCTGAGCAGTGTTTGCTCCTCTGCCTCACCATGCAGCCAGTACCAGCTGCAGAGTGCAACACCCCAGAAAACACAAATGCTCCCCACCTTAGCTCACCACACTGATAAAGCCACCATGGGGAGTGTCACATCTCACCTCACATTTTACACCTGAGGTTTTCTCCCCACCTCCATCACAGAAGGGAAAAAAGCTTCACTAACAACAAGCTTTTTCCTGAGAAATGCTGCACTCTGCTTCCAGCAAAATGAATTAAACTAGGTCTAATCTCAAGGCTTTTAAAAGGAAGAAACAAGGCCCAGACCACAAGAAAATGAACATGAAACAGGGAAAAAAATCCATGAACCTCATTTTTGTTGGAGCTCAGAGGCAGTAAAAACCATTCCCTGGGGTGTACAATATTTATTTTTTGTATTTGTCAGTTCCTATCCTGAAAATGAGGGCAAAGAAGGGGAAGGAAGCTCAGGAGTTTCTGACCACACTAATTTTACTAGAATGACTAAAGTAAGCTGCTCACTCCTCTCCTTCAGGACTGACCTAGCTTTCTTTGGGTTTTTTTTTGCTGACCCATCTGGGCACAGCCTTTGAAGGGCACCTGCTCCAGGGATCAGGTGATCAGAGCAGGAATTTTGTCCTCTTCTTCCTTTCTGCCATTACCAAAATACACTGGACTGTAGCAACTCACCCTGTTAAAAAGCTGGGCTGCTAAAACACACTGGGATCAAGAGAACAACAGTGTTATTTCAGGCAGCAGAAAAAAGTGCCATGGGAGATTAAACATCTGTGACTGCCAAATCAGTATCGGCAGGACTGAGCCTTGAAACTACAACTCCTGTGCCAGCAACTTCTTTGATGTGCACCATGAACATTTAGGGCACTGAACACGTGCTCCATGGTAATGTATTCATGATCCAAGGTCTTGTTAGGGGAAAAAACCCTAACACATAAAGCAGTGAGCCAAACTCCACAGTAACCTCATAGTGCTATCTACTATCTACACATGCTACCTACTCACCCCACAGGAATTAGTCAAGGGTGACCAGCATCACCAACAAGTACAGCAAACTGCAGACCCATCTCTCTTTTCAAACCCTCTCCGGCCTGTGCTGCAGCTCCTGACAGAGACACAGCCCGAGGGCTGGGGACAGCAATGGCTGTCTGGGGTCACAAGCAGTACCTGTAAACATGGCACAAAAATAAGGGCTGCAGGCTGCCAGCACCACCCGGTGAGCTTCCATCTCCACGGTTTCGGCCACAATCACCACATCACACAGGAGCCGCTTGCTGGGGAAACACCAGAAAACACAAAGATCATTTCAGAATTCCCTGTCAGGCAAAAAGCTACATCACTACAGCCCAAAAAAGTGGAAGACCCACCATTACAGACACAGCACCTGAGCTTCTGCCAAATCCCAGGGGAAGGTTCTCTAATGCTCCAGTACCAGCTCCTATCACTGTTTGCCTACAAAGCAAAGCCTGAATCCTCCTGAGGCTGCAGCCCTGCCTGTGCTTCTGCCTTCCCCAGGGGAAAAAAAACCTGAAAGCCAAACTAGGCATACATGCTGCTCAAAGAACAAAGGACAAGCAGCTCCTTCATCCCTCAAACAAGCAGGGCTTGGAGGAGGCACAGACGAGCTTAAAGATTTGGGCATTACCTGGGCCCAGGCTCTAGTAGATCTGTAAGACAAGAAATAGCCATGCAAGGGAACATCAGCATCACTTCCGTCTTTCCACAGGAAAAAGGTGCAGTGGAAAATGAAGTGATTTCTGCAAACCCTTCCAGGTTTGTCACAAAGGAAAGTGACCACCAAAATATGTCCTGGCACTGGTAGGTGCAGAGGCTGCCTCAGCCATTTGCCAGTGCAGAGGTATCAGTCACTGGAGTTCATCCATGGGCCTGAGGACTTCATTTACCTCATGAATTAGTCTGGGATTAAGAGTCACTGGGATAAAGAACAGGGTTCCAGACAGAAACCAAAAAAAAAAAAAACAACCTTGTAAGCTCCCCCACTGACTCATTGTAGAGCTTTGGAAAAGTCACTTCATTAAGGAGTGACCTTTTCTGCTCACCCCACGTATGTCCTTTGAGGATTCATTAGTTAATGTTTGCACAGAGCTTCGCAGATGCCGACAGCAAGAAGTGCTCAGCCTCCCAATAAGTTGGTTTAAGATGCTTAAGCATACAAATGCAAACTAAGGGTGTTCTTTTCAAATGCCAAGCCCAAAAAAGGATCAGTGCCTGTAAATCTAGATGTTGCCTTCTCTTTGGAAATACTTATCTCCACACTGAACTTTGTATTTAGGAAACTGCATTATCAAATAAACATACACAGAGCTTCTAATGGACCAGCTATGTATCTTCTTCTCCACATATTGAAATATTAAAAAAACAGCTGTGAAATGGAGGGCTATAGTTGGAAAACAGAAGAAAGTAGGAACTGGCAGTCTGTACTCTACATTTATTCCAGTTTGGAAGGGGGAAGGGCAATGAGGGGAACCCTTTAAGAGCCTCTTAATGGAAGCTTCCTCATTTGTTTTAGCTTATGTAAAAGATGCTCTGTTCAATTCCATTTTGGGCTATTGTAATCTAAAGTACCACTCATAAAATTAGTTTCATCTACATTTGCCAACTAAAAGCCTAAGGGACATGGTTTAGTGGCAGTGCTGGGTTAAGGGTTGGACTCATTGATCTTAGAGGTCTTTTCCAACCTAAACAATTCCATGATTCTATATAGTATAGTATATAGGCTAAAGGCTTAGCATGATTTTTCTAGACCTCTATGAGATTTCTGGATGCATGTGAAGGGAGAAACTTATTATTCAAGGCATCTGTTGACACTGATTGCTGAGAGCTTAACAGATCCCAAGCTCAGTGCACATTCAAGAGATGTAAAAACTGTATATTCCACAACAGCAGTCAAAAAAAAAAAAAAAAAACCAGCACCCAGAAGACAAAAACATCATGCAGGTGCTTAATGGCAGCTTTCATTCTTCTCTATTTTATCTGTTCAGTATTGCCCAAGATACCTAACCACAGGCACTAAGAAGCATTGTCTGTCTCTAGTTATTCCCACTCTGCTTCAATTAACAAAGGAGTAATAGCAGCACAATAGATTTCTCAATATAGCTGCACAAAACTTTAGTTTTGGATCCTTTGCTTTCAGTACAAAGAAAGGACCAGAAGGATGCCAGATAAATGTAAAAAAAAAAAAAAAAAATTACAACATACCCTGCTTCATGTAATAGTTACAATATTTCCATTTTGTTCCTATGCAACAGAGACTCACTGTCAGGAATCTGTGGAAGGAAACATTTTCAATCCTTCTCCACACTAGAGAAGTGTGTATTAGAAAACTACTTAATCCATGGAGAGTTAGCTATTACAGCCTCTTTTGATTACTTGGAGTGTGCAGAAGAGCAAGGGTGTTACCTGCTTTCATCACATCGCCTCAACAGTTAGGGAGCACATACATTCATGTGTGTGACACACACACTTTACATAAGAATTCTTTTTAAAACTATAAGGATGAAAAGTCTAATGAATTAGTCAGAGAAATGCTGATTGAACTTCTGACTGGTTAGTGGGATAACAGCCACCAAGAAACAATTCAGGCTGAACCACTGCCACCGCTTTGCTGATGTGATGACAGCAGTTTTCAAGGCTGAGTTCACAGATATTTTTTTCAGCCTCTGGTCTCCCTGTACCCACACAGCTGTGTAAAGACCAAGGTGTTCTCTTTTAAATAATATGAGGATTTTTCAATTTGCAAGAAGAGAGCTGACATTCTTCCTGAGTACTTGCTTTTTTTTTCCACCCCTTACTTTGGAGTGCTGAGCCCAGACTGAGTGATGCTGCAAGTTAAAGAGACTAAGAACAGTACATTAATAATCTTTGGTCTGTAATTATGTGTAGGTGTCTTAATGTCTGTAATGTTCTATTACTGGGTTTCAGACCCTTATCTCAGTTAAGAACGTAGTTTACAGCTGAATTTGCTGAAAGTAATGGAAAAGACTAAATGAATTATCACCTATAAATGAAGGCCACGGCTCAGATAATGTTTTTGGGAAGACAGACGTCTGAGACTGGCGAGAGCAGCCCACCACAAAAGGACTATATTTTAGTTTCCTATCTGTGATTAATCCTCTACATGCAACCATTAGCTGTAACAAAAAGGGCATAGACTATTTTTTACGTCTCTCAATCAGCATAATTCTGCTAAACCAGAGAGGGTGCCTAGTAAGTCAAAAGTGTACCTCCGTAATTCATTCATGACCTTGAAAGCCTTTCTCATGTGGGAGGGATTGACTGTCACTGTACGCTGGTCCTTTTCATCTTCAGCTGCCTCAGAGGAACGGGAACTCTGCTTAATGCTGAAAACAGGGACAAAAAAAGGAGCAGAAAGTTTGATTCAATGGCAGTTTAAAAAACAAGCATCCTAAAACTGCAGCACAGGGTATTAAGCATGGAGCTACTCACAAGTCAGTCAGTCAGTTTAGGTTCTCCACATGAAGCACATCAAAAAATGCAGCTACTTCTGCATGGATGTTGAAAGCCAACTCAGCCCACATTTCAGCCAGCAGGGAAGAAAAGAAAGAAGTGCCAAACACCTGAGGACAAAGCCCAGTCTTACAGGCTCCAGGCCAGGAAAGCAGTATAAGTTGAAATTCAAGCCAGAACATAATTGCCTCACTGAATAGAAATAGACTTCAGCACTGGGAACTATAAGAGTACCATGGATTTTTTCAACATTCATACCGAGAAAAAGAAGTTTAGCCTTCAATGTCCCATCTGAAAAAGGCAAGCACACAATACATGACTTGTATCTTCTTTAGAGGCAAGTAGAAAAGGGCTATTAAATCTCCCTGCACAGCTTTCAAAGCTTTACTGAAGCTGCTTTCCATTTCAGAAATTGTCTATTTATTGCCACTGAAACATATGGAATGAATTATTAAAGCTTCCTACCAGAACCACCAGCTCCATAGGTAATGTCAAACCAGAGGCACTCAGCTATGTGCTGTGTTTAAGCAGGCCAACAGGTGCCTAAGGCACACACGTGTCCTCATTACTCTGTTGGGAGCATTGGCTCTGTACACACAACTGACAGCGGGTCAATATCTCCAGCTCCCTGATCTGAAAGCTCCCTGATCCCTGTGAAATCACTCGGAGCTAAAGGCTCCCACCTGAGAAAGGAGCAGCACTTTGAGGCAGGTCCCTGTTCTGTTCAGTCCATGGCTCACTCCTCAAACCCTGGCAGGCAAAGGCAAACAAGACAAGTCAAGGAGGGTTGTCTGCGTCCAAAGCCAACTCCAAGAGAATGGCAGATCTCAGGAGGCAACTCCATTGCCCCATGTGCCTGACTGGAGACCTTCTCAGAGCTTTTCCTTCCAGTCTCCTTCACCTTTGTCCCCTCCTCCCTACCACCTTTCTGAGTTGGGCTGCCATGATTAAAAAGACTGAATTGGGCTAAACCAGCAGTCTGGACAAGCCAGCATCCTGGCTCTCTGGTGATCAGAAGGAGATGTCTGAAGAAGGGCACAGAGCAGGGAAGTGTGGAAGGATCCTTCCCAGAACACCCTGGTAGCTCCTGTCAAGGTGTGTAGGCATGCACATATATATCTATATACAAGCACACTTACACACACTGACTATCCCTTTGAAAAACACATCATTCACTATTTACAACCCTGACAGTGTGAAGCCCTGGCTAATATTACATCCTGCCTGCTCTGACCAGCGGCTGTCACCACCACTGCGTCCCTTGACACCACACAAAGCTCTCTGCCCCCCCAACAGTCTTTGGTGGGCTGCACTCTCCTTCCTGGAGAAGCAAGAGGCTGAGCAGCAGCCAAGCTGCACACAGCTCAAATCCATGCCTGCATACTGAGCAGCCTCCAGCTTTGTGCCTGAGACAAAGGTTAATGCCAAAAACCAGCCAAGTCCAATTCTTTCACTTTGCTGAGCGAGTGAAATATTTTCAGTCATAACTGAAGCCACAAGGCTGAGCAGAACATCACTCAGCACATGTCCCAGTGAGGGAGACAACTTCCCAAACTCCGTTACAGCCATCATCCAATTAGCTTAGTATGAGTGGATTAAAAGAAGAAAAATCAGAAAGGAGAATACCTCGTGTTAAGTGTTCAGTATTCAAGGGACTGGTACCAGGCAACCACACAAACAGCTTTTCTATTCCTGAGGAACACTGAACTCTTTCTGTGCCACATGAACTGCCAGAGGTGTTCATGGAGCTGTGCTGGCACTTGGCTCTTCCCCACCTCTGCACACTCCAGTGAAGAAGCTCCTTGCTCCAGGGACACAGCCAAATCCAGCTAAGCCTCAGCACTGTGTCCATCAAAAGCCCTCACTGAAACTTTAGGCCAGGTGACCACAGCTTTCATCACCCCAGCATAAACCCTTGATTTTTAAACAGCTAAACTTGCCCGTGTGGCACCATTGAGCCAAGAAGGGGAAAAAAGGCTCTGGAAGTACAAGTGACTTCATGGAGCTTTCAGGCTCCAAAGCTGGAACACATACAGGAAGTAAGCAAAGTAAACAAAAAAGAAAAAAAATAATTAAAAAGAAAGTGAAACCAAAAGGGAGAGTCAGGGAGAGCCACTCCCACTGCTCCAGGGGCCGGACAGCTGGATCACCACAGGACACTGCCCTGGGCAGCCTCACAGACACCTCACAGACCCAAAACCAAGCCATGCACACAGAAGCCATAGGGGCTCTTTAATAAGAACAAGCGCCCTGCTGAGATTTGTTTATTAGCTCTCCAGCGCCAGAGACCAAAGATGTTCAAACTTTTCTGCTGGCAAAAGATACAGCTCAAAGAACACAGCAAGTTTCACTGAACACCAAAGTAAATGTCAGGTCAAATGTCAAGCTTTCATAAAGCCTCAACTACACCAACATTTGTCTACGTATTTTAAAAGCAAAAAAAAAACTTGCTTCAGGATTTTGGAAGAAGATCAATCAGCTCTTCCTAAAAAGCAGGAAAGATAAGTTTTTTAAAAAACCTCCTAGGAGACGTCCTCAGCTTAATTAAAAGGGGCAGATTTCAGAATTTGCCAAAGGTTTGCCATGAGAAAATACTGCAGATTGTCTGGTTAAAAACTTATTTCAAAAAAGATCAAGATATGCTATTTAAAGTTTTTTTCCAAGTGACTCATATCAAAAAAACATATTTGAAGAATTAATGGCTAAGAGCCTTTAACTCATCTCTAAGACTGACTCAGCTACCATAGAATTGTGTTCCAGCAACAGACAGAGGATGATTTTATCTGGGAGAGATATTTTACACTTCCATGCACATACTCTCAGAGATCACTGACACATTTCCAACATAAAAATGCAAGAACCTGAATGCTCCAAGCAAATGCACCCTGACAGAAAGCAAAAGCTGCCCCTGAGAAGACCAAACCATTACACTTCACAGCCTTTTCTGAGATTTGTCCCCCCACAAGGATAAAAATTACTACATTTATTACACTGTTTTTATTTAAATGGATTAAAGCAAAGGAGGAATAGGGTCCTCCGATCAAAGACCCCAGCCAAGACCAACTGGAGATGCTAGAGCCCCTGCACCCCGTGACCACAGGGGCATTGCCCCCACGTTTGCCAAGCTGATGTCCTACTACAGCAGCAGCACTCGTGAGCCAGCTGCCAGGAGCAATTTGTTCTATTCCTGGGCTATCCGAGGCCGTGCACTCAGTGAATGGACAAATGATTTAATTTCCCTGGGCCAGATGAACATCCTCTTTACAGGCACAGCAGGATGCTCCTAAAATGAGCAGAGAGGCTCTTAGTTTCAGACTGTGCCAACCCCACTGCCCCCTCCTGCGTGGCCTTTCAGTGATGTCCCCAAGCAGAACAAATGAACCCCTATTTGAGAGTCCCCAATTAAGCCAGTGAAGCTAATCACTACCCTGTTGACACCATGTTCCTCCCCTCCAGAACCCCCTAGCAGAGCTGGGCTCACATTGCCAGGGTTCACAGCCCTGCTCCTGCCCAAGTGTGGCCACCACCCAGCTGACAGAAAGGTACTTTAAAAACCCATACCCCACTGCTCTGCTGCCCGCATGTATCCACTGTAAAGTTGGGTTGCCTTAGTTACCAGCAATAATTACAGATGTCTTTGTAGATTATGTGAAAGAATAAAAGCCTTCCTTAGAGATAAACTGTCCCCTGGCAAGATTATTGCCGTGCAGAGAGCTGGTAAACCCCAGGAACAAAAATCCCAGCTCTGCCAAATCCAATTCTAACACTGGCTTTATGGGAGCCAGGAGTTCACCCTGAAGGAAGGGCAGATCTCAAATGCAGTCTCCTTCAGAGCACAGAAGGACAAGGTTCTGCTCATGTTTCTGGGAGAACAGCCTCCAGGCTCAGCTCCTAACCCAGCATGAACACCACAGAACACGGGATCTCTCACTGGGGAGGTGACGGGACACCAGCCATGTCCAGCCCAGCCTCATCCCACTGTGCACCCCTGCGTGGTCTCTGGGAGCTGCTCTCCTCTCCTGCCTGAGCACCACAGGCTGAGCTCTGCTCTCCTGCTTGGTCCCTGACACTGCAGAGCTTCAGCACCACAAGCTGGGCCAAAGAGCCAGATGGACTCAGAGTCCTGCACGGGCAATCCAGCACCTCTGTAGCAGCTTCATACCCCTGGATTCACTTAAAAATACCTGCTAACCATGGATTTCCAAAGCCTGTGGAGCTTCTCTGGGGGATATGTAAGAATCATCACCAGAAAATGTTCATCTACATATCTGAGAGGTTTGACATCACTCTGGTCTAAAAACCTGACAGATGCCCCATAGCAGTTAGTAGTCTTCAAAACTTGAATACCTCTACAAAAATCAACAGAGACCAAAATTAGTCTTAGTTTTAGTCTAAGCACAATGAAAAATCATTTTACTTTAACTGGCCTAATTCTCTGTTTAGAATCAAGACCCCAAACCACAGGACAAATACATTATGCCCAATAGTTTTATTCCTCTAGCCAGGCAGACACAGTAAGGAAAACATGTCAGTGTAACGGCATAGTTATAAAAATCTCAATTTCTGAATTTGTCTTTAGGTACATAAAAAGACATTAAAAAAATTGTGACTGAAGGGATCCACATACTGAACTGGGTTTTGAGAGGATTTCAGAGAAATGCATTATCATTAAAACATATGGGAGGCAGTGTAATGGAAAGGATTATTTTTCTTTTAATAGCAATATTATTTTCCTATTTTGTTGATTTTTTTTTTAGTGCCTAGATCAACATGGAGACATTAGCTTAGGAAAACACACAACTGGCATACAGGAGATCCCTAAAAGAGTATTCATATCAAAGGAGACCTCAGGGGGAAAGAAGACTTTGGGAACTAGTGAGGAGAAAAGTCTTTGCTGACACTAATGGAAACAACACAAAATAACTCAAATATGACAATACCATTTGCTTTCAAAGACAAATATTGTATTTCTCAAACAAATACCAGAGACTACCTTCACTTAAATATAAAACCACAGGTGTTTTAATATTTTAACCAAAAAAAAAAAAAAAAAATTCCAGAGGGTTTTTCCTATTCAAACTCAAAAACATCTTGCAGAACCAGAGTACCGTGCCTAACTATAAACCTTATGCAATTTCTCCATAAAATAGAAGTACCATCATTTTACTAACAGCACAGTAAAAGAAAAGCAGGATTCTGAAATATTTTATTGCCACATGTGAATGTTCCAGGTTAAATCTCCCTTGCCCACGGGTGCTTCTGCTCATGTGCAATGACATGGGCACATGATACCACTGAAGGTCCTGGGT